CAATGACATCGGCTAATAACAAGGCGTATCTAACAAGCTACACGGAGTGGCACTCCGGCAAGGGGTGACATCGGCTAACAAGGACTTCGGTGACTAAGGTGACAATGACCTCGGCTAGGAAGGACAACGCTTGACTAAGCTGTGCCACCTCTTGGCCTAGATGCGCCACACCTCGGCCTAGGTCATACCACTTCCAGGACGAGATCACTTGGTGCAAGGTAACATCTCGGCTAATGTGGTCAAGGCAAGGACTGAGGTCGACAAGGGGTTTCAAGATACTAATACTAGACTAAGGATGACCTCGGCTTGGAATAACATCGGCTAGCATAACTCAGGCAAGGCGTAACCTAAGTTTCACATTAAGGAAGGAACAAGACAAGCATACTACACTTAGACAAATCACAAGGCTTCAAATCAAGACATGGATCGCATTAGCTCAAGCGAAACAAATCACAACATACACATGCAAGCTAAACAAGTCATAATCATACCGATGCTCATGAACATGATGAGGACATAAAGTGTGGGTCCCTACACAGTTATTGTATTAACTGAAAATGGAACTCTCACATAATTGATACACATATGTCCAGATGAGCCAAATTTCTATTTATAGATCAATCATGTACAGTGGAATAGCAGATTTTGACTATCTACCTCCAGTGAATAACTACAAAGCATATAGTGCATTCATTTACAATTATATTTACGTAATGTAAAAGAAGCATCACCAGGGTTGTTGGATTGTGGTCAAACACACATGAGGCATCCAATATATTATGGCGAAAGTATTCATGCCAAAACGAATTCATGGGAACATTCAAAAGAAAGAGAATCCTCATGTAGGTAGCTATTCAATGATGCATCAGGCATGCAATTTCTTTGGTTCCCTATATCGCCTAAAAGAAGCACTGAAACATATCAAGTCAGCAAACTCAGTCTTGGCAGCTATGATCAAATTCCCGATGGTAACCCAATTTTCTGGCATTAATCAACAGGTATCGTACTAGTTGTACTACAATAAAACTGCATGCAGAAGGCACCAACTACAAGCCACTAAGCACTAGACCAAATACAATGAGGTTTAGGTGCACAAAAATAATACACCTTTTTGATAAAATGACGAGAGTGAGAGAGAGAGAGAGAGCAGCAGCAGCAACAACAACAGGAAGAGAATGCAAAAAATATAGAAAACCATCAATAGTTCTTCTTAAAGGAATATGCATACCATAGTCACCTGAAAAAATATTATGTTATATACATATGAAGTGCACGTTCATGAAATAACCATTAAAATGTAGCATTAAATTGTGATGCTTACACTAATTCAGAATTATAAATGAAATCAATAACATATAATTATAAATAAAAATAAAAAAGTACTAATTTCTCGTGTCTTCTAAATTCTGATCATTCCACTAGTATTTTAAAAAATGTATAGTCATCCATTCATCAAGATTTTAAACATTTTCTATCTAGTGAATGTAGATATCACATCATGGTCCCCCAACTAATGATCAAATACAACATGAACAACAAACCCTGTAATCCTAATTAAGGAATGTTTACAGATCCCCGCACTACTACAAAAATAGTTAAAGATCACACTGTGACAAAAAAAAAAAATATCTCACTTTTATTGGAAGTGTGATAAAAAAAATTAGATTGATATTTTAATCACATTCAATTTGATTGAGTGTGATAATATTCATTTTTTATGTCACTTTTCAATTAAGTGTGATTATATATATACTACTACTACTTTTTAATCACACTTTTTAAATAAGTGTGATTAGATATATATTTTTTAATCACACATTCTAATTAAAGTGTGATTATTTTTATATTTTTTAATCACACCTTCTAATTAAAGTGTGATTATATATACACTACTACTTTTTAATCACACTTTTTAAATAAATGTGATTATATATATATATTTTTAATCACACATTCTAATTAAAGTGTGATTATTTATATATTTTTTAATCACACCTTCTAATTAAAGTGATTATACATACATTACTACTTTTTAATCACACTTTTTAAATAAGTGTAATTATATATACATATATATTTAATCACACTCCACTACAAGAAAAAGCATCTTTGGCGACTAAAAAAGCACATTTGGTCGCTGAAAGTATAGGTTTTGGCGACTAAAAAAGCATTAGTAGCCAAAAGTAAAGATTTTTGGCGACTAAAAAAAATTAGTAACCAAAAGTGAGGTATTGGGTGACTAAAAAGATGTTTGGTTGCCAAAAGTGAGGCTTTTACCGACTAAAAAAATTTTAGTAGCCAAAAGTGAGATTTTTTGGCGACTAAAAAAAACTTAGTAGCCAAAGTTGAGGTATTGGGCAACTAAAAAGATGTTTAGTAGCCAAAAGTGAGGCTTTTTGGCGACTAAAAAGAAGTTTAGTCTCCAAAAGTGATAATTTTAGCCCGGGAATTAAATTTTTTAACGACTAAAAAATAATTAGTAGCCAAAAGTATAGAATCGGCGACTAAAATTATGTTTAGTTGCCAAAAGTGGTCTTCTTTTTTTTTTTTTTTTTTTTTTTTTTTTTTTTTTTTTTTTTTTTCTAGTAAATAATTTATTTTTACATAAATAATGTTCAATAAAAAATAATTATCTTTATATATATACTTTTATATTAAGAAGATGCCATACCGGTTTGGTGCAGCATCTAATCCTCTTTTTAACCGGCTGTGACTAGGAATGTCTTGAGGGACTATAAGCCCTGATTCTTTCATCTTATCGTCATCTCCTAGGTCTGATAGAACAGGCTCAGGATACTTTTTCTGAAACATTGGGAAACAATTCAAAAATCAATACAAAAAAATTTGGCATTTCAGCAAACTAGAGTCTACATGCATGACAGTCACTACAAGTTACATTCACCAAATGTGCCATAGGATCATCCCATCTAACTCTCTCCTTAAACATTCTGTCAATTTCTGGATCATCTCTGCAGTACAAAGGATGCGTACACATAATAAGGTTGGTAATTGAAAAGAAACCATCATTTTCTAGTGATTTCACAGACAGACAGGCAGAAGATATAATAAAATAACGCATCAGATCAGATCAAGCAACTTTACATTAGATGCTCCATAGTCAACAAATGAAATCAAAACCAAAAAAGATCGAATGATATGTGTTCCAAGTGCTTTACATCATCTGAGAAGTCATATATAATCATGAGGGCGTAGCAATCAAGTGTCATAATACGAGAACCCCTCACACGTTAATGTGTACTTATACTTATTTGGGTGTTGTTTTTTTAATTACTTCAAACAAAACATCTATCTATCTATTTATATTATTATAAAGTGAACACCCTTATGGTGTCTTGAAGCCGTTGTTTCTTATGTTGTCACGTGTCTACTTTTTTATTTAAAATAGAAAAAAATTAGATAAATGAGATGAGGGGATTTAAACCTGCCTTATGTCAAATGAATAAGACTTTTACCACTTAACTAGCACACAATATATGAGAAATATTTTATTTTATTTATATTTATTTGAATTGCACAAGTATCGCGTGTGGCAACCGCTAGTGCATAAAAAGCCATCATAGTCACAGATATGAAGCTTCACCGGTTACCTTCTTTTTACTCCTTCCCTTTCCCTTTTTTTATCCTACTAATAATATTTTGTTTCCATAGCTAATAAGTCGACCGACCTATGATTCACTCCTTATAAATAAATAAATAGCATTCTTCATAAAGAAACAACCAAGGGCACGAACACCATTGCATCCTTATAATAAATAATTTTATTTTTAAACAGAATCAAGCAATTTCAGAATCAAACCCAAGGTTTTAAAAAGCGGCCGCAACCGTTACGTAACGCCGTTATGTAACGGTTTTGGCAGTTACCACCACCCGTTACGGCCGCTTTTGCAATGTGATTGAGATTCACAGGTGTGTCGGCCGTAGCGGCTTCCGTAGCGGTCGTAACGGTGCCGTAACAGCCGTAACGGCCTGTTACGCACCGTTACGTAACGGTTCCAAACTGTTTCTTTCGAAAAAAACACACAAAAAAATGTTGAAAATGGGGGAAGAGAGATAGAGAGAAGAGGGAAGATAAAGAGAAAAAATGAAGGAGCAAGAGATAGAGGAAGAGAAGAGGGAAGATGAAGAACATGTTATTGATTTGTTGAAGCAGTAAGACCTATGCTATTCTATTCAACTGCTATCACTCAATCATTTTGTTTGTGTGTGTCTATTTATATATTGTTTGAAAATAATAATAATAATAATAATAATAAGTATGGTCATTATCTATTTAGCTTGGTTAAAATATGTATATATATATATATATATATATTTAGGCTCTTATTTATTCTCTTACTTTTGTTATTGTTTATCTTATATATAATAGTTAGTGATTGATTTTTTGTATAATATAAAGTCATTAATTATTAAAATAAAATATAAAAAACTCAGTTTATAGTGATTTAAAAATATAAAATATATTGGATCATACTTAAAAATTTACAAAAATTGATCAATATTTATTTTTAACCCAATAAATATGATCATGGGAAAAAAATGTGTATCGGTAAATTTTTTTCAAATTGTGCAAAAAATAAAAAAATTCACGGTTCCGGTTACCGCAACCGTTACACTATGGCCTTTACACCCCGCAACCGCAACCGCGCCACCGCCACCGTTACGGCGACCGCAACCGCTTTTCAGAACCTTGATCAAACCCTTAAAAAAAATTCACAAGCAATTTCGACAACGACAACAACAATCAAGCAAGCAATTTCAATGCAATCAAGCAACTTCCAACAAATTTTAAGAGCAACCAAGCAACTTCAAACGAATTTTAAACAAAACAAAAAAAAAAAAACCTGGATTTCGACTTAGTTTCGATTTCAAACGAGGGAGAGTAAAGAGGGATCGGTGATGAGGTATGAAGATGGAGAGAGTGATCGAGAGAGGGAGACGACTGATTTGTGAGTGATCCGAACACTCCAGAGCCAAGATGGAGAGAGAGAGAGAGAGAGAGAGAGAGGGGTTTAAGATATGAGAGAGTGATCGGTGATGAGTTATCAACATGGTCCTGTTCGTGCAGCTGTGAAAATAGATTATACATTATAATTTAACACATTATAAATTATGATTTTAAATAGAAATTATTAATTTGATATATTTGTTAGATTATATGTTTAAGTTATTGAGGAGTATTTGTTAAATAAGCTGTGAAGTAATTTTTTTAATTAATTTTTATTTTTTATTATTTACTATTTGTCTATATTTTTTATAAAAAAAAATAATAATATTTTATAATTCATTTGTGTCTTTTTCTATTTTTAAAAAAATAAAAAAAAATATAAGAGTTTAATCGTGAATTGATATGTCCACAGCAGAAATTGATAATCAGAAGTAAGGGTGAGCAGCTTGTAAGAATCAATTTTTTTGATTTAAAATAAGTTGTTAGAATCAGAAATTATTTGAAATAAGTTTAACTAAATATTTTAAAATAATTTTTTAAAAGTCAGAAATCATAAGTTGGCTAAAAAAACCTCAACAAACACCCATAGAGAGTGAGAGCCGAGTGAGGGGTGTGTGGGAAATGCGCAGAAAAGTAGAGGCACTCAAATATGTACTTAGGGGGTTGTTTGGGATGACCTAAATAAGTGTATTTTTTTTCCTTTTACGAAAAGATATACAGAAAAGTAGAGAGGTGATGTGATGAAAAAAGATAAAAAGATAAAAAGATGGATTATTTTTGGGTTGCCAAACTTGGCCTTATATATAAGGCCTTAGAATAATAAGATAAGAAAGAGGCATCCTCTAAAGTGAATTTTCGGCTCCGTTTGTTTTTAGAAATAGCATGGAGGGGATTCATAGTGAGAGGATTAATAGTGAAGGGATTGTTAGTGAGGGGACTAAGTAAAATTGTGTTTATTTTGATGATAGTTGTTAGTGTAAGAATTGTTAAATTATTTTTATATAAAATAATAAAACAAATAAAAAAATTAAACATTAATGTTTAAAAAAAATTCTTAATATATAAAAAAAAATAAAAATTAATCCCCTCACTATTTTTCTAATACCACCTCTACTTCCACCTCCTCTATCCCAATCCACCTTTCAACCTCCATCTTAATTCCCACCTCCATTCTAATCCCTTCCCCAACTCTACAAACAAATACAACACTAAATAACCTCACCTCCATCCTAATCCCCTCCCATCCAGTACACCTCAAAACAAACGGGGCCTTAGAGTGATCTGGTAGAGTGAATTTATGAGGATGCAACACCTGTTCTACTAATGAAACCGAGGGATGAGATCAATCTCTCACCAAAACGACGTCGTTTTGATGGGAAAAACAGAAAAAAAAAAACAAAAAACAAAAAACAACAACAACTAAGAGAGAGAGAAACATAGATCACTCTACTATTTCACTCTGAGACCTCATGTGACCTCCCAAGGATCTACTACAGGGAAAGCTCTTGTTACACAATTTGCACACATGTTTAAGCTTTTGATCTTCTTCCATTGATTATAAATAAAAAAACAGAGATCAGAAGAAGTAAAAGAAAGTTCAAATCTGATCACAAAATTTGAAAACTTGTTACAATTTTGATCTCATTTATACTTTATGACCCCAAAATGATAAGGGAACAAAGGAATATAAAGAAAATACAAGAACCCAAATAAGGACACTAGATTAAAAGATAATAAAATATTGTGTTTCTGGGTTTGGTAATAAGAAGAAGTAAAAGAAATTACAAGAAATTAAAAGAAATTACAAGACCCAAATCAGAAGAAGTAAAAGATTGTTTTATGGGTTTGATAATAATCACAGCATTGGCCTCGTTTTGTTTAGTGTGATTTTGAAATCGGATTTAAGCCAAACCTATTTCATCACTATCAATTTCAAGCACACCTCTGGAGTTTTGAAAAGTTTATGTACTTGTGGTGGTAGTGACTTTGAGCTTCAATGGCCGACCAGGAGAGAGAAACGCGACCTTGTTAATGGAGACTACTCTAAAAAAGATGAGAGATGGCTTGTCGGCGATCAAGGCCGCCTCGGAACAACCTTTCAGTCGCGCAACTGCTTTTCCTCTTACTCGTCCCTATGTCGTCGTCCACTCTCACAGCACCGCCAACGCTTCAAACCCACCATTGCACCATGAATCCATTGTTGCTGTCATTCCTTAACATAAAAAATATACGAAGAACCAAAAGTGGGTCTGAATCCATTGTTGTTAGGTCTGAATCTATTTTTCTTTTTAATTTCTCTGATCAAAACGACGCCGTTTTGGTGAGGGATTGATCTAAACCCTTGGTTCCATTAGTGGGATAGGTGTCGTGCGCTCATAAATTCACTTTACCAGATCACTCTAGGAATTCACTCTAGAGGATCCCAACGTGAGAAAGAGAGATGGATTGGAATGATGATAACAGAACATTCTAGAGGGGTTGGTACCCAAAAAGTGGTATTTGGATATCAAGAAGATCCTCGACATGACCAAAAGCTCATTGCGCCTTGTTTCTAGCCACTCATTCCGCCTTGAAGATCCTCGACAAGACCAGGAACTCTATTTAATGGCTTCCACTGATAGAAACAAGAAGAAAATGTGAGAATTAAAATAATTTTAATTCGGAAAAGAAGAATACCTCCTGCCTGCCATGAAGTTCAAGCCTTTTAATCTTTATTCTTGAATGATCAAATCTTAAATGTATAAACAAAACTCATCCACAGAACAATTTCACAGAACCATATGAAAAAAGTGGAAGGAACAGAATTTCAAGCCTATTCTATTCACAAAAACAATGTCTGTGTTTGATAGCTATTACAAGCATATATAAACAAGAAGAAAATGTGAGAATTAAAATAATTTTAATTCGGAAAAGAAGAATACCTCCTACCTGCCATGATGTTCAAGCCTTTTAATCTTTATTATTGAATGATCAAATCTTAAATGTATAAACAAAACTCATCCACAGAACAATTTCACAGAACCATATGAAAAAAGTGGAAGGAACAGAATTTCAAGCCTATTCTATTCACAAAAACAATGTCTGTGTTTAATAGCTATTACAAGCATATATATAGATAGGCTTTGATCCATATCCAAGTGTAACTCCTTATAACTCCCCACCATCAGGAAAGTTGTAACTTCCCATGAAATCACCATATGGGATAGTGGACATACGTTAGTCATCCATTACCCATTAAACTGATTAAATATATATAATATAAATAAATAAATAAAACAAACATGTGGCATATAGGCCACTTTATGGATATTTTTACATTATCTCACTTGGCACATATAACATACGTTGTTGACTGCCAGTTAACTAACAAACTGATTATGGCCATTAAATAAAAATACCCAAACTTTAGAGTTTTAATACACGAATCATGGCGGTTATGTTCTATCAATTGAGTATTTCCTTCCATGTATTATATTGTATCACACTCTCAACTTTATGTGGTGTCATTCTTTATGAATAACTTCTAATAAGTTATTCTGGGTCCAATGATCCCTATGGATCAATAGTTCCAATGTACTGCATAGCATCACTGTCATGACCCGAACCCGCCCGTATGGATTAAGGTCATAGCCGACCAGTAATCGAGAGATTACCTACGACCTCAAACAATTCTCAGACATATCTCAACAGAGTTAAGGGGCCAAAACGGAAGCAATTTTAAAAACTTTGCCCATAGAGTTGTGCTTACATGATATAGCAAAATCGTTCCAAAGGTATTTCATAATAACTCACACAAACCATAGAGTTAATCTATATCCAGGAACTTTTACTTATGCAGTCAGCCAAACAAAACTTATATACAAAGGTGATCCAACGTTTTCGCCAACAAAGCAAAAATATAACCAAAGAATGAAAGGACAAAAACAAGTCTCGTGCGTGAGGCGTTAAGGCTGACTCCTCAAAACTTTGACTTTTTCCCACATACTTCACTGAGGCTGGGTTTGAACATCTCTTGGCTCACTTACATATACATGAATGAGAATGAGCGAAAGCTCAGTGAATAATATCAAGTAAAGAAAATACATGAATGAAGTTCGGAATAGTTATACATATATCTGATAGCCTTGGGCCCATTTATGGCTTTATCTAGTACATTAGACGGCTTTAAGCTCGAGCATGTCATACGGCCTCTGGCTCATTCATTCATGTCTCACGGCTTTTGGCCTAATCAATTATGTCCGACGGCCTTTGGCCCAATCAATTATGTCCGACGGCCTTTTGCCCAATCAATTATGTCTGACGGCCTTTGGCCCATTTAGTAGTGTCCGACGATCTTTGGCCCAATCAATGGTATCATGAATGTTTGTCCACAATTCAAATTAACAAACTTATGAACTCAAATAGGAGTAAGCAATTGGACAAATAGCATACTTCAAAATATCTTTATTAGGATATTACTCACAGTGTTCTACCGGTGGACTCGTCATTGTGTTCGACCCTACATAAATCATAACACATATTGGGTCACAAACAATTCAATCCGTTCTCAATTTATTCACTCATCTTAGGCCTCTTTCTTATCTTCTTAATCCATTCACGATGCTCAATGCATGCCTAAGAGTGCTTAGAAATGAAAAAGAACGGAAAATGAAACACCAAACGTCCATTCAAAATTTCAGAAACAGGGCTTCCCGCTCGAGCGTAGCTTTGGCCGCTCGAGCGAACCCCCTTTGTCTGCAAAAGTACTGGTTGCCTTATTTTCGCGCTCGAGCGTGACTTTGGACGCTCAAGCTGAAAGTCAAAACATGTGTTCAGACGCTCGAGCGTAACTATTCCCGCTCGAGCGAACATCAATGTCTGCAAAAGTTCTGGAAGCTAACATTTCACGCTCGAGCGGCGCTTTCCATGCTTGAGCGGACATGCCGAATTTTGGAATTTCTAGAATTGTTCTTGAAGTTCAAACTTAATATTCAAAGGCCCTAAACTCATGATTTTGGTTCAAAAACATGGAAACACATTATATAATACGAGAATATAAAAATATGAGACCAAAATGTTCAAATTCATGGTCCTTTTCCAAAATCATTTTGAGTTCTCTTCATAGGTTTCAAAACACATGTATTC